TTCCTTTCCTTTCCTTTCCTTTCCTTTCCTTTCCTTTCCTTTCCTTTTCCCTTTCCTTTCCTTTCCTTTCCTTTCCTTTCCTTTCCTTTCTCCTCTGCTCTCCTCTGCTCTCTTCTGCTCTGCTCTTCTCTCCTCTCCCTTCCTCTCCCTTCCTTCCTTCCTTCCTTCCTTCCTTCCTCTCTTTCTTTCTTTTTTTCTTTTTTATGAGACAGGGTTTCTCTGTGTAGCCCTGACTGCTCTGTAAGCCAGGCTGGCCTCAAACTCACAGAGATCTGCCTGCCCCTGACTACTGAGTTCTAGGATTAAAGGCGTGAGCCACCACCACCTGGCCAGTATCTACTTTTTATAGGCTCATCTTTTTTTCCTGTGGTTCCTCAGCTTTTCTCCTTCTTCTTTTCTTCTTCCTGATTTGTTTGAGGATGACTTCTGCATCAACTTAAAACACATTTTTAGTCTAAATCAGATTGGGGAAACTGAGGTTCAGAGAATGGGTTTGTGTGGGGTCAAGCCTCCACTTTAAAATAGCTCAGCCAGGAGCTAGAGGCCAGGTGCCGTGAGCTGTGTCGGGCGCTCGCCACACCCCAGCTGCCTGGCCAGGGTCCATCCTCCAGACAGAGCCACCCAGCAGAATTGTGTCACGATGAGGTTCACTTCACAGTGGCTTGGGAAGAACCCTGGGCTTTTCAGAAAAGAAATGTGTAAATCCTAATACATAAGGGAAGTTCTTGCAACAGCAGGGGAATGAGTCAGTCAGCCAGAGTTCAAGAAATGTAAACACATCTCTAGATAGGAGACTGAAAAATCTCTTAGGGCTTCTCAGCTCTTGGGTCAGGACCTTGGTAATTTACTGAGGTCCACGCTGTCAAGGAGGAGCTGAGGCTCCAGCTGCATTCCTTGGAGATAAAGCAATGGGGGTGGTGAAACTCCCTTCTGGAGCAACGTGGGGAGATCTACCTCTTGTGCAACCCAAGCCCCTGGCTGTCAACCTAGGGTGGGGCCTTCTTCCTGTTTCAGGAGCTGGTGAGCACAACCAAAGACCTCACACTGCTTCAGCACTTCCGGGCCGCCTGAAGCCGCTCGGGCCGCCGCTATTGAGATAACAGAAAACACATCCCTGACGGCCCACCAGCCAGACTGATCAGATTTTCGGATGCTCCCATTAATCTAGCCCTGGGCTTTTAGGAGATAGCGTTCAAACCAGATAACCAGGCTATTCAGAGGTGACCCTGCCTAGAGGGATTTTAGCCTCAACCCCTTCTGCCTTCCTCAAACCACGGCATTCTTCACCAAACACTCAAACCGTGGGAGGCTGGAAGGCAGAGCAAGCAACTGATTCTAGCGTGGGGTTCGGCTCCTTTAAGTTTTCCTTCTATTTAAATCTGCGTTGACAATGTTTAATTCCCAAATTGCTGTTTTAAATAAAAATGAAATACAATTATATTTACCCCTGCTGTCTCAGAGTGCTTGTTTTCCGGAGTGGGGGAAACTCTGATGGGACCCATCTGGTGGCAGGACAGAAACCTAACCCCAAGGAGTTGCCTTATCAGGACAGGTGGGCCACCTGGCTCCTTCTGCAAGTCAGGGCTTGGTAAACACTGGCCCGGCAGGCTCTGAAATGGCCAAATGTTCTGTGGTTACCAGAGCAGGAACTGGTGGAGGTGCTGGCAGGAGCCTCTTGAAATCTGTTCAGGGCCTTTTTCCACACGCCATTTCTCAAGAGCACACCCTTTGATCGCTGGGGCGCTGTCACAGAATTTCCTTCCTAGCCTTCCCTGTCATCGTCAGGCAGGCGATCCATCTGCTGCACGGAGACCTCAAGTACTGTGGCCTCCTCACAACTTCATGCAGAGCCTCGCTGGCCCCAGCAGAAACCATTAAGAGAAGTTCCCCCTGCGACACCCCCCCACCCCCGGCCACGTCAGCCCTGGTACCTTCAAGGTTTTGTGTTTTGATCATAAATGGAAAATGCAAATGCAAATTCCAGATTATTAAAAAAAAAATTCTTCCCAGGGTAAACGTAACTATAAAAGGAAGGAGACTGCCGTGCCCATGACCTTTCCTTAAAAATATCCAAAAATATTTTATATGCTGTGACTCAAGATGCTTATGACCTATGGTTATAATAAATCTCAAGTCTGTTTGTTGAATGCAAGAGATCAAGTTCCAAGCCGGCCTGTTGGGGATGCCATTATCAGATTCTTAGGATAAGATTTAAGGCTTTGTTTATGATACACATTTTCCTTTTAAATCTTCCTGACTGAGGAGGAGGGTGAGATAGGCATATTAAACCATTGCTAGGGACCTGAGAAGGCCTCCCGGCGAAAGACATACCCCTGGGAGGTCCAACTAAGGAGCCTGTCTAGAAAACATGAGTCAGTCGGGATTTAAATATGGACAAGACTTGCAAATGTGAGAGCGCTATTTTTCTTCCAATTTGGGATATCAGTTCTTCTATTTACATACCTTTATGGGCCTAGCTCAGTCTCTAGGCTCTAGCTTTTGGTTTGGGGAATATACGCTTCTTCTAAAGGTTCATCATGTTTGTTTTTAAAGAGAAGTCCAGAGGTTCATGGCAGTTTACCAACCCTAAAATGGAAATTAAGCTGCTGCAGTGTGGAATTTAAATTTCAATTGTGTGGCAATAAATATCAATGACTTAAGAGACCCTCCAGTGAAGACTTGTCATCAGATTCATAAATAAGCACGTGCTTTGGTTGCCCTGGATGGCCCATTTCTTACTCTGCCTTCCCCTCCCCTCCATGTGCCTGCCGTCCAGGCATTACAAGTTGCTCATCCTTCTCTCATTCTGCTATGTTCCCTAACTCTCCCAAGGTCCCTTTCCCTCTGGAGTCCTTTCTTTTCCATTTGGCTAGTTCCTACACACATCCGTAGAAACTCTGCTATGGGTGTGTTTTTCTTTCCTTCCTAAAGCAACAACCCCCCCATACTTCATAATTCGTACTCAGCAATCATTCTATCACTGCGGTCCCCTTTAAGGCATGGCTCTTTCTCTCAGCTCTGTTACTGGGCCTGGCGTGGTGTTTGTAGCTAGCAGACGGTCATGTGGTCTTGGCTGAATTAATGAACGAGTAATTTCTTTGTGTCTTGTAAAACAACCTTTACTAGTTATTTCTGTTGAACATGTTCCAATGTTGGTGCTTACATGGACTTCCAAGTGAAAAGTTGTGGGGAAACCAACCTCTGGACACAGCGTGTGAAGGAAGCAGGAGAAGCCAAGAGGCCTGGAGCAATCTCTCAGGCTTTGGTTGCACAGATTCCCCGAGGGCCACGGAACGGGAGTGATGCTGAGAATCACTGACCAATGGAGTTCTAACCTTTAGTTACTGTGGCGAAAGAAAAGCTAATGTTCTGAGCTCTGTTTTAGGAGAAATTATCTTCTCTTGAAAAAAATCTATGTGAGCCTTTGACTATCTAATATTGTCCTCTGCATGGGCCCTTGTCCCTGTGTCCAGCGGTGCTGCTGCTGCAGCAACCCCGGGTTCTGGGCAGGATGCATGCTGAGGCTTTCCTGAGGCCTCTGTGCTCTCTCAAGTATCACAACCCAGCAAAGCTGAAGTAGAATGAGGAAGCCTTCTCAGTCTGTCAGGGAGTCTACAAGTGAAGAGCTAGCTACGGTTCCTATTTTTCATTTTTTGTTTTTGGAAAAGAATTATTAAACTGTTAGATCACTTTTTCTTATTTCCATCACCAATCCCAGCAATTTTAGGGCCATGAATCCATATATTATATGATATATGAATATATATTTATGAATATATATTCATATATATATTCATATATATTCACAAATCCATATATTATATTATATGCCATGAATTTTTAAATATTTATTTATCTATTTATTTATTATACAATATTCTGTCTGTGTATATGCCAGAAGGTCAGAAGAGGGCACCAGACCTCATTACAGATGGTTGTGAGCCACCATGTGGTTGCTGGGAATTGAACTTAGGACCTTTGGAAGAGCAGGCAATGCTCTTAACCACTGAGCCATCTCTCCAGCCCCTAGGCCATAAATTTTATATACATTACACATAAATATGAAATTGTACTTTCATATTTATTGCTAGGTGAGTATTCTACCAACCTAGCTATATCTACAGCCTATTCCTGACTTTTTTTTAATAGTCTGCTTAAAAAAAAAAATTGCCACTCAATGTGTCTCTGACTTGTTTTATTTTTATCGTTATTCAATGTGCCCCTGGCTTTTGAGGACATTTTCAAAGAGTTGAAACTGACTTTCCGGTGTCTAAATGATTACAACGTCTGTCAACGATTTACTGTTTTTAGGATCCTATCGATTTAATCTAAAAATTTCATCAAAACAAAGTACTCAAAAAACAAAAACGTGTGGCAATTCTGTAGACGATTCTGTTTATTTATTCATTTATTTTGGTTTCTCAGTAGTTTT